TTCGGTTTTTGCCCATATTATTTTATTATGGGAGTTTATTGTATGCCCTAGATACATTTTATTTTTCAAACGTACATATTCCTTATATATTCTTAATTCAATTTCAGAATGCTGTTTTTTGATGAGCAGGTTTCATTTTATGTGACTACTGTTTTAATGTAAGTCTTGTAAAAAATATTTTGCTCATATCAAGGCCATGAGGATATTCTCCCATAACCCCCTAGAGAAATTTTTTATACTAACTCGTAGTTTTAGGTCTAGTGTCCAACTTAAATAAATTTTTATGTTTGGTGTGAGATAGAGGTTAAAGTAGTGTTTTGCCTTTCCACATAGCTATTTAAAAGTTTTACCAGAGTTTCTTAAAAAGACTATTATAACCCAGTGAATAGTTTTGGCATGTTTGTAGAAATCAACTGTATATCAACTTCTTACCTTTCTATCAAGTCCATTAATTGATTTGTCTATCTTTACATAGATACCATATTAATTGCTCCATAAAAAAAAAACCCTTATAAAAATGCCACGTAACTCATCCAACTTTGTTCTTTTTCAAAATTTTTTTGGCAACTCTTGGCCTTTTGCATTTCATATTAATAGTTTTAAATTAACCTTATTTATATGGGGAATAGGATATCAGTATATTGACTGGAATTGTAATGAAACTATGGCTCAATTTGAAGAGGACTGACTTCACATTCAGTTTTTAAATCCAAGATTACATTATAGAACTCCATTTATTTAGGTGTTTTAAAATTCCTCTCCACAATGTTTAGTAGTTTTCATTTTATACTTCTCATACACTTTTTGAAATATACGCAGCTGAAAAGGGGCTAATAACCAGAAGCCACAAAGAATTTAAACATATTTATAAGAAAAAAAAAAGTGGGCATCAAAAAGTGGGTGAAGCATATAAACAGACACTTTTCAAAAGGAGACATTTATGCAGCCAACAAACATATGAAAAAAAAAAAACTCATCATCACTGGTCATTAAAGAAATGCAAATCAAAACCACATTGAGATACCATCTCACATCAGTTAGAATGGCGATCATTAAAAAATCAGGAGACAACAGAGGCTGGAGAGGATTTGAAGAAATAGGAACGCTTTCACACTGTTGGTGGGAGTGTAAATTAGTTCAACCATTGTGGAAGACAGTGTGGAAATTCCTCAAGTCTCTAGAAATAGAAATTCCATTTGACCCAGCAATCTCATTACTGGTTATATACCCAAAAGATTATAAAATATTCTATTATAAAGACACATGCACACATATGTTTATTGTGGTACTGTTTTCAATGGCAGGCCCTTGGAACCAACCCAAATGCCCATCAATGATAGACTGGACAGGGAAAATGTGGCACATATACACCATGGAATGCTATGCAGTCATAAAAAAGGATGAGTTTGTGTCCTTTGCAGGGACATGGATGAAGTTGGAAACCATCATTCTCGGCAAACTTACACAAGAACAAAAAACCAAATGCCTCATGTTCTCACTCATAAGTGGGTGCTGAACAATGAGAACACATGGACACAGCAGGAGGAACATCATACACCAGGGTCTGTTGAGGGGTGGGGGGCTGGGGGGGGAAAGCAGTGGGTGGGGGAATTGGGGAGGGATAACATTAGGAGAAATACCTAATGTATATGACAGGATGATGGATGCAGCAAACCACCATGCCGTGTGTATACCTATCTAACAAACCTGCACGATCTTTGATCTGCACATGTACCCCAGAACTTAAAATATAATTAAAAAAAGAAAAAACATATGTATTCCTAAAGACTTTGTGTTTGTTTTTAATGCTGTTTTAATTATTTTTACATTGTATTTTATAATCTTTCCTTTACATATATATGATTATTTATTTTTGTTTTGGACTTGTATTTTGCAACCTCGCTAAGTTCAAGTATTGGTTTGAATGCATGTGTTTGTGTGTCTATTAGATACTTTTGAATTTTCTAATTATGTTGTCTGCACGTGAATACAGGTTACTTTTTTTGTTCAATTTTTACAAATATGTTATTTATAAATTAACCAATTTATAGCCAGCTGTCATATGAAATGACAATAGTCACTTGTTTTTGTTTTGTTTTTGATATGATCCAAACATTTTTAATTTGAAGGCACTGATTTTTTTTTGGGGGGGGCCAAGAGTATATATTACACGAATATCTTGGAAAGAAAGTAGAGGCAGAATACTAACAGTTCTATTTAACAAAACATAATTCATGGATTTTGTAGTGACTCATACGATTTTGTTTTTGAAGAAAAAATTTCATATACTGTGTCCAGAGACATGCAGATGAGCCCTTTTTTCAGGCTTCAGATCATGACATGACAAGCGTTGTTTATTTTGGTCTTTTTTTTAGGTGTATATTCTTTTTCTTCTCAGCAATTACTTTTTGATCACTTTCTCATCTTGTTTTACTTCCCTCCCTCTATTTCCAGATAAAGTTGGGAAACTCTAAAAACCCAGACACTTATATCTCAGCCACCTTTTCAGACCTGTTCGGGCTTTAAACAAGTGAAGTAAAAAAGAAGTGGGCATTTTCTGAGATACAAATATATTTTCACTACAGTTTTATGCAGCAAGCTCTGCTTACTGTAAATCTTTTTGGTTGAGAACATGTAAGACTATATTAGTAAAATGAAGACTAGAAAGAAGCAGGGAAGACTCCTGGAAGCAGCGTTGGTGTTCCTCAAAAGTCAGAACAATGACCTGTTGATAAGAAGACATTTAAGTCAAATTTTTAAGTTGGTTTCTAAAATAATTTTGATACCACTCTGCAAAGTATTTCTAATTTTTATGAGTAGAATCTTCAGTTATTCCTATCATCTAAAAGCATTACCAAATACAGTGTTTAAGTGGAAGATAGTAGGCAGTTTGAAAAACTATTAGAAGCTAAATTAATATTAAGACTGAAGGACTCCTCCCCAACTCAATCTATGAGACCAGCATTATCTTGATACTAAAACATGGCAGAGACACAATCAAAAAAGAAAACTTCAGGCCAATATCCTTGATTAACATTGACCCAAAAATGCTCAACAAAATATTGGCAAACCAAATCCAGCAGCACATCAAAAAACTAATTAACCACAATCAAGTAGGCTTCATCCCCAGGATGCAAGGCTAGTTCAACATATGCAAATCAATAAATGTGATTCATCACATAAACAGAACTAAAGACAAAAAAACACATTATCTCAATAGATGAAGAAAAGGCTTTCAATAAAATTTAGCACGTCATGTTAAAAACTCTCGCTAAACTAGGAATCTCAAAATAAGAAGAGCCATCTATGACAAACTCACAGCCAACCACATACTGAATGGGCAGAAACTGGAAGCATTTTCCCTTGAAAACTGGCACAAGACAAGGATTCCCTCTCTCATCACTCCTATTCACCCTAGTAAATGGAATCCTGGCCAGAGCAATAAAGCAAGAGAAAGAAATAAATGGCATCCAGATTGGAAGAGAGAAAGTCAAACTGTCCCTGTTAGCAGTTGACATAATGTCTATATCTTGAAAACCTCATAATCTCTGCCCAAAATCTTCTTCAGCTGATAAACAACTTCAGCAGTGTCTCAGGAGGCAAAGTCAATGTACAAAACTCACTACTATGTATACAAATATACACCAACAGTGATTAATCCAAAAGCCAAGTAAGGAACACAATCCCATATACAACAGCCACAAAAAGAATAAAATATCTCAGAATATAACTAACCAGAGAGATCAAAGATGTCTACAACGAGAATTTCAAAACATTGCTCAAAGAAATTAGAGAAGACACAAACAACTGAAAAAAATTCCATGTTCATGAACAGGAAGAATCAATATCATTAAAATGGCCATACTGCTCAAAGTAACTTACACATTCAAGGCTTTTTTTCTATCAAACTACCAATTACATTCTTCACAGAACCAGAAAAAAATATTATAAAATGTATATGGAACCAAAGAGTCTGGATAGCCAACACAATCTTAAGCAAAAAGAATAAAGCTAGAGGCATTACCTTACCTGACTTCAAACTATACTATACGGCTACAGCATCATACTGGTACAAAATCAGACATATAGACCAATGAAAGAGAACACAGAGCCCAGAAATAAGGCAACATACCAGTGACCATCTGATCTTAGACAAAGCTGACAAAAACAAGCAATGGAGAAGAAGACTCCATATTCAATAAATGGTGCTGAGATAACTGGCTAGCCATATGGTGAAGATTTAAACTGAATCTCCTTCTTATATCATATACGAAGATCAACTCAAGATGGACTAAAGACTTAAACATAAAACTCCCAAAAATAAAAATAAAAAACCTGGAAGACAACCTAGGCAATGCCATCCTAGACATAGTAATGAACAATGATTTAATGGTGAAAACATCAAAAGCAATCACAAAATAAAGCAAAAATTGACAAATAGAATCTAATTAAACTTAAAAGCTTCCACAAAGCAAAATAACTTATCAATCGATAGAATAAACAGATAACCTACAGAATGGGAGAAAATATTTGCAAACTACGTACCAGGCAAAGGTCTAATATCCAGCATCTGTAAGGAACTTAAACAAATTTACAAAACAAAAACAAACAACCCCACTAAAAAGCAGGCAAAGGACATGAGCAGATACTTTTCAAAAGAAGACATACCTGTGGCCCACAAGCATATGAAAAAAAGCTCAATATCACTGATCATTAAAGAAATGCAAATCAGAACCAAAATGAGATACCATCTCATACCAGTCAGAATGGCTATTATTAAAAACTTTAAAAATAATAGATGCTAATGTTGTGGAGAAAGGGGAACTCTTATACACTGTTGGTGAGACCATAAATTAGTTCAACCATTGTGAAAAGCAGTATAGTAATTCCTCAAAGAGATAAAAACAGAACTACCATTCAACACAGCAGTCCCATTACTGGGCATATGCTCAAGAATATAAATCATTCTACCATAAAAACACAAGCACATCGCTTCTCGGCCTTTTGGCTAAGATCAAGTGTAGTATCTGTTCTTATCAGTTTAATATCTGATACGTCCTCTATCCCAGGACAATATATTAAATGGATTTTTGGAAGTAGGAGTTGGAATAGGAGCTTGCTCCGTCCACTCCACGCATCGACCTGGTATTGCAGTACTTCCAGGAACGGTGCACCCCCGCTTCGGGGGTTACTATTTTGGTTTTAAAAATAGATTGATAGGCCGGGCGCGGTGGCTCAAGCCTGTAATCCCAGCACTGTGGGAGGCCGAGGCGGGCGGATCACGAGGTCAAGAGATCGAGACCATCCCAGTCAGCATGGTG